ATGCCCCACAACCCCAATTTGGGCAGGGAGAGAGTTTATGCTTTGAATGCCCTTCTTGGTGTCTCTGAAGCTTCCGCATTACCAGGTAGGGCAAGGGTCCAAAGGAGTAGAATTGTAGAATCACAGAATCATAGAATGGCTTGGGTTGGAAGGGACCACAAAGATCATCAATTTCCAACTCCAAGGAAGGGCAGACAAGATATCTCATGTTCCTTCATCCACTAAAGAATGAACCATGTCTTCTTCTCCACAGACTGTGGGCTGCAGGCCCCTCTCAGCAGGATCATTGGTGGTGCTAACTCTGTGGAAGGAGAATGGCCATGGCAAGCCAGCCTGCAAGTCCGGGGACGCCACATCTGTGGGGGAACGCTCATTGCTGACCGCTGGGTGGTCTCAGCTGCACATTGCTTCCAGGATGAGAGGTGAATAGAGAGGGGAGGGTGATGGAGCAGAGAAGGATGTTAAGATTCATAGTGTGGCATTGGGTGAACAATGGTGGTGAAAGACACCTCATAGGTTGGTCCTCCTTTCCTTTGGCTCTGACCTGTTCCCAATGCTGCTACTGCTGTGGACAGATCAGCGTGTGGTAGGATGAGACTGGGATACCATCACCTGCTGAAGATGCTGTTTGGTTCCCACACTCCTCATCCCCAGGGCCTGTCCTTTCAGGAGGAAACACGAACTTTGGTCATCTTGAGGAGTCCTGATGCAGAATGGATAAAGCTAGTTCAGCCCTGTTAGATGGTATGTCTGTGCATGCGCTTGACAGGGAGACACTGCAAGTTGGGTGAGAGATAAGAAATAGAAGGATAGAAAAGAGGAACAGAGAGATGGCCATAGGAAAACAGGGAGGTTTTCGTACCCAGATAGGTAGTGTAGGAGAAAACAGCATGTGTAAGGCAAAAAGACAAAATTTTGAGTCTAAAACAATCTTTTCCTGCTTCTTTCTGCTTAGGGCCAGGGAAAGTTCCCCTGTGCTCCTCACTCTCCTGCTGGAGATAGGATTTTCTTAGAGGTATCATCTTGATGATAACCTCTTCCCATCCTTCCCTGTTTATGTGATGAGTTTTCTTCTCTGCTACATCCTGCAGACTGGCTTCTCCCTCTGTCTGGACCATTTACTTGGGCAAATACTTCCAAAACATCACCAGCCACACAGAGGTGTCCTTCAAAGTGATCCGCCTCTTCCTCCACCCTTATTATGAGGAGGACAGCCATGACTATGATGTGGCCCTGCTCCAGCTGGACCATCCTGTGATCATCTCGCCCTTCATCCAGCCCATCTGCTTGCCTGCCACTTCCCACATCTTTGAGCCTGGCCTTCACTGCTGGATCACTGGCTGGGGAGCCCTCAAGGAAGGTGGTAAGTGCAGTGTTTTTGCTGGTGGCTTACAGCAGCAGGACTAAGGTGGAAACATAGGTTCAGGTGTAGGGTAGGTAGAACAGCCTTCTGCTCACCCTGAAGTATTATGCATCCTTCACTCCCTTTGCTTTTTGGTCACAGTTTACCTGCTGAATGTCTCAAAATCTCTTTCAAAGAGGTAAATTTGAGAGTCTAGTAAGATATTTGATGACAGCATGCGTCCCTTCATCCAAAGTCTAGAATAACCCTGCAGAATTTATTAGTCTGGCTACCCGTGGTCATGGAGCAGCCCCAGTCCCAAAGCCCAACCTCACACTATGCAGGCATGTTGGCTCCTGTCATATTGTTCTCCAGAGACAGTGCCCAAATGGAGAGAGTTGAGACAAAAGACTACCCTTCATCAAACTGTCTCTCCTGGGGATGCCCTATTAAAGATCCTATCAGCCATACCTTCACAAGCAACAACTGTGCTAGTAAATTTAGTGCAGGGTCTGAGTGATGTTCAAGAACCACATTAGCATAGTTTGGACACACAGAGCCCATACACAGCTGGGAGACAGCATGGTCCAAGATATGTTCCCATGATTCCCAGAGTCCACTTGTTTTGTAAGGAAAAGAGAGTTTAGCAATTTGGGAATAATCCTTCACATTCCCCTCCCTCAAGGCCACCAAACAGACCCAGACTGCTTAGTAGTGCTTGGCACAGGAATACATACATGCTCATTCAGTTCAGCTTTGTGTCTTCAGTCACAATCAGAATTCCTCCCTTTGCTTCTCAAATGGAAATACTTAGAGGATTCTGTCCAGAACTGAACACTCCCGGATTTGCTTAGTCAGAATGGCTTAAAAATCACTTCAAAGAGAAGCAAACCTAAATGCTGGCATTCCAGAAGTTGACCCAAAACAGAACCCTCCTTGTCCCAAAAGCTAAAATGCCCATGACATATTCCTGCAGGGAAAGCAGGGAAATGCTATTCCTGACAGGCAGGTGGAGTGCACTGCTGAAAGTCAGAAACTGATGCTCGTGGACAGAAGAGAAATTCAGGCGGCAGCTTTCAGCAGGCAATGAGATGGGGATGGGCTGGGGGAACTGGGCCAGCTGTGGGAAGCTCCACCTTTTCTCACCTGCATTGCTCTTGGTGCTCTATCCCCAGGGCACATTAGCAATATCTTGCAGAAGGTGGATGTGCAGATCATCCAGCAGGACATCTGCAGCGAGGCCTATCACTACATGATTTCTCCCAGGATGCTCTGTGCTGGCTACAACAAGGGCAAGAAGGATGCCTGCCAGGTGACAGTGGGGTTGTGGGAGCAGGGTGGGTAGCATGGGTGAACTGTGTCCCAGGCCTCCCAAACGCACTCCATAGCCTGAAATGAGGGTGAGAAGACTGACTGTCAAACACCTGAATTCCCAGTTACTCCTCAGATCTCAGTGGCCTAAAACAGCTCACAGGACAACTTCTTCCCAGTATTTTTGCCTTAGACACAATCCAAATACACAGAAACTTCTCAGTTTCTCATTCCAGCTTATTTTCCACTCTTCACCTCCCCCTTCAAAGTCACATGTCTACATCAGTCTTCCCCTCTCTTTTCACTAGCATCTGTCAGACACAGTAACCAGTCAGTTCCTTCATTATAGTAAATCAATCTCAAGCAATTCCTCTGTTTCCCATCCCTCAGGATATCCTGTTAAATTCCACCAGCTTCCTCGCTCTCCATGTATTTGCAAATGCCTCAGAGCAGAAGGAAACAATAGATCTGCCAGCTGCCTGGGAGCTGGCTAAGGGGGAGGGATTTGCATGATGAAAGAATGCAGCAATACATCAGATGTTTGCGCAGGAGACAATTTTGACATCTGTCTAAGGCATAAGGGATGTTGTGGATGGTGCAGACATAAGTTGAGGAGATATGTGCACAGGGACTCCGAAGCCAATGAAGAACACATAGTAGGAGAAGCCAGTGGGTCACCATCACGCCATTTTTCTCTCCCTTTCTCTAGGGTGATTCTGGAGGTCCACTGGCCTGTGAGGAGCCCAGTGGCAGATGGTTTCTAGCTGGCTTGGTCAGCTGGGGAATGGGATGCGGGCTTCCAAATTACTATGGAGTGTACACCAGGATCACACAAGTTCTGAGCTGGATAAACCAAACCATGAGCTGAGAAACACGCACCTCTACTTTCTCCTTATCAGATCTACGCTCACAATGGCACTCATTCCTGACCTTGCTCATTTGCCTCTCAAAGAAAGAGAGTTTCTGTAGGGGATGTTGTCAGCCCCAGGATGCTCTTTTGAGAAGGGTGAAAAGAAAAACACAAAAGCTTGCACCGGGGACTGCAGAGGAAATCAGGCACAGCCACGTACAAGAAGAGCTGAACTTTCCATGAACCATGTGATTCAGCCACAGTCTTACGCTGGAACGTCTGCTGAAAGAAAATGTGACTGATGTAGTTAGAGATTCCAGTAACTGTGAAATCAATCTCCCTCCCTCTTCCTTCCTGCTGCTCATTCTTCTTCCCACTTCCCCTCCCATCACTCCTCCTCTTCCATCTTCCTAATTGCTTATTTTCTTAGCTGGTGTGTGCTGTTCAGCTCCGCCAGGCAACTCTTCACGTCTCACTGACTCTCATACACGAGTTCAGCATCATGCCCTGCCTCCCTGTTGGAACAGCACCCAGCTGCTGCTCTTGGAGCCCCTCAGAAGATCCCAGGCCTGCAGTAAAACTATTAGAGCGTCCCTCCTATTCTCTCCCTTCAGCCCTTCTGAACACCTTCAACATGAGGGATTCTCAGCTGCTTCAGAATCCTAACTCAGATAATGCAGGAGGTGAAGGAGAAGGCTTAGGGGCACAGTGCTTTGGAAAGTGACTGCTATGGGTTTAGCTGTTTTTTACTGACGATATACATACATACATACATGTATATATATATGCATAAGTAGGTATATGTATATATATAACATGGCCACTCTGGAAATAAAAATAATTTGATTTTTTTTTTTTTTTTTTTTGCTTTAATTTGATTTATTATTGTCTACTAGTTAGGATGAGAGCTGATGGCCTGAAGTTGCACCAGGGGAGGTTCAGGTTGGATATTTGGAAATTTTTTTTCCCAGAAAGAGCGGTGCTGCAGTGGCACAGGCTGCCCAGGGAGGTGGTGCAGTCATCATCCCTGGAGGTGTTCCAGAGCCGTGTGGATGCGGCACTGAGGGATATGGTCAGTGGGCATGGTGGGGGTGGGCTGGTGGCTGGACTGGATAATCTTAGTCCTCTTTTCCAACTTCTATGATTCTATGATTATTCTGTTACAAATTCTTTTGGGGTTTGAATCTTTTTGGCCAAACTCCAGTCCTGGCACTGGCAAACTGGTGCAAGTTTCCTGCCCTCCCTCCCAGCTATGTCCCAGACACAGCAGGGTCAACATGTCATCAAGATAGGCAGTCTTCATCATTACAGCTTAGGGGTGTGGACAGCGATTAGCAAACCTGCTCTGTAGCTCCACCTGCATGGAGATGCAGCACAAATGCAGCAGGAGATATCCCTGTGCCCAGTAGTCAGGCTCAACTTCCGATGGCTCCAGGTGATCCTTTCGTCCAGCCTCCCAACGCCAAATTTCTACCACTTGGAATGAGAGGCAGCAAGGAGGAAGAAAGTCTGAGATTTATTTAGGAGCTACAACCTGGCATCTTCAGACACAGTGGTGAAGTGAACCCCTGGCTCTCTGAGGCAGGGATGCTCCTGTCCTACCAGACCTTCTGTCAGGTACCAACACATCCCCAACAGGTACTCAGGCAGCACACACCTGCCTCCATTCACCCATCCAATGTAGAGATGTTTAGGGGGACAGGGAGTGAGATACCAGCAAGGAGAAACCCAGCACAGGGATATTCCACCAGCAATGCAGGTGGCCCAGAAAGAAAAAAAAAACAAAAAACAACAGCGTCTCTGCATTTGCCCTCTGGGCAAAAGCCCAGACCAGTTGCCTGCAACTGTGAATGGACAAGGAGTGGTCCTAGTGCAAATGCTGCCACATCTGGGCACCATTGCTCAGGAAGGAAGCAAAGTTCTGCAGTGGTTGATCACTGATGTCCCCAGCAGGGGCCACTGTGACATTAAAGAAAGCCATTCTGCTAGGAAAAGGATGGGGCTCCAGGTCCTGCAGCTCTCCTTGGAGCATTTGCCCTCCTCTGGGCAGATATGAGTTTGTAAAAGTCAACAGCTGAGTGTGAGAGTGAAGGGGGCTGCGGGTGTCACTGCGGCACAGGGGGCTGCCATGTGCTACCGTACAAAAATAAAGATATCAAGCAGAAATTAAAAGGCTGGAGTGCAGATTCAGGATCACATCCTCAGGCCTCTGGCTTGTAACTGCTAGAGAAGGAGAGAGAGAGAGAGAGAAACCAAATCAAAGAGGGCAAGAAACAGAAAAAGGGAAAGAGCATGTGACAGAGGAAACAAGATATAAAGAAAGGAAAGGAAAAGGAAAAGGAAAAAGAAGAAAGAAAGGGAGAGGGAAAAGAAGAAGGAAAGGAAGAGGATTGAGGGTGGGGTGAAAAGAGAAAAATGAGGGAGAAGTCTGATTAACACACACTGCCTTTTGAGAGAATAACACTCATCTCCCATAGCCACAAACAAGGGGGCTCTTGAACAGGGGAAGTGAGAAATGCTATCCAGCTAACAAGTGCCCCCCACTAGCATGGAAAGTGGCACTGAGCGCCACCAGTTCAACAAGAAATCTGTTTTCTGGCTAGAGAGAGGGGTCCTCCTATGAATGCTTTCTTTGTTCAGCTGCAGATGGGAAGCCTCAGTAGGAGGCAGAGCAGAGGCCCCTTCCAAGCGCAGCTGTAGGAACATCTGGAGCAGGGACCCACAGCTTCCACTGCACCTTCAGCACCCTCTGGCACTGCAATGTCAAGGGAAGCATGAGCAGAGCAGGGCAGAGGAGCTGCAAGAATGGATGGCAATCAGGAGAAGTGATCTGGCATGCATGGCAGGCTGCCACATGGCAGGCATTCCCCTGTGCCATCCCTGCCTGCTTTGCATTCTTCCCCATTCTTCCCCACCCTCCTCCTTACTCCTGATTGCACCTTTCCTGCTGCTTCCAGAGCCTTCAGCCCAGAGCTGGAAGAACTGCTTGGCAAGTAAAGGCACATGTATGATGAAAATCAGAAAAGCCACCTTTGAAATGACTCAACCTCCCCTTGCTTCTCCCCCTCCCCAAGCTCTACAAACCAGGACTTTATCCACAAGAAGGAAGGATGTGAGTCACTCATGCAGAGCTCAAACTGGCAGGATCTGAGAGTGCATATAGGTAACATACCTGCAGAGTAGGAAAAGTGAGGAACAGAGAGATGGGGCCCTGAGGAGGGAACAAACAGAATCTTGGGTTTGGAAGGGGAGACGGGAACCAGGTCCACTGGAAGGAGGCTGTGAGGGGCAAAGAGAGCAGAGGGGAGAATTCTGGAGGCTGGGGAATGGGGTAGGGTGTCCCAGGAAGGTGACAGTGCAGAGATGGAGATGGAGGGGAGCAGGAGGGAGTGTCCAGTACATGGACAGTCTGCAAATAAAAATATAAATAAACCAAACAGTTAAAAATGTAAAGCAGCAGCCAAGGTAACAACCCCTCCCTACGAGCTTTATCTCCAGATAGACTCCTGCTCCCTGGGAGGACGTCCCCTCCACCCCACACTTGCCCTAGTTCTTCCCTGCTGCTAGCTGTGAGTTCTCACCAGAAAGGTGGATGAATCTATGCCTGGGGGTTAGTCTATTTTTTTCCTCAAGGATTTGCTGCACCTTTCTCTTCTGCTTCTGCCTCTGCCTCCTCCTCCATCTCCTGCTCTTCTTCCTCCACGTCCTCCTCTGCGCTCTGCAGGCCAGCATGCAGGACAAAGGGAAGAAAGAGTGGAGACACTTGCCAGATGAGCCATGGAAGTTCTTGCTGATACACAAGTGCATAAAGCAATGGTCATGATGCTGAAATAGAAAGGGACATTTCCCCACAGCCAAGACAGCGCTGGGTCAGAGGGCAAAGAGACTTTTCTTATAGAGCAACATATAAGGGCTGTTCTTACAAGTGTTGTGATCCCACTGCCCAACAGCTTCCATCAGTTTCTAGTGCTCCTTCTTCTATCTAGGTGTCTACACATTGTCATGCAACACCACATTTTCCCATCCCTCCCTTCAAAGGGGAGAAAGTGACCTCCTGTCACTTAGATGGGACTCAAAAAAGAATGAGAATGCTGCAGAAACCTTGGGGAAATCACACAGCATGGTCATGAGGAGGTATGAGGAAGATTTTAGAGAAGCATGAGAAGTGCCAGGATCACTTGGTAAAGCTATTTGGCACACACAGCCAGGCATCACTACTTGAACATATGCATTCCTTTTTTTGGGCCATTGGTGTAATGTCGTGGTGTAATGTCATAAAGCCCCTGTATATCACCATCTATTTCACTACTGAGTGCTCCACAGTCACAGTGGAGAGAAGAAAGGAAGAGGGGGTGACAAGAGCAAATTGTTTCATAAGCAATAGGAGAAAGGCCATAGTGAAGTTGGTCTCACCTTGACTTTGTGGCTGGACTCAGAGCTCAGACCACTGGGAGAGTTGTACAGTTCCTTGGAGACCACACACAGGAACTCTGTCTGATCCTCATTCCCATAGTTGTAGCACGAGCCAATGTTCACAAGCTGGAGAAGACAAAAGAAGTGATAACAAACATGTTACTGCAAACTTCCACTTTACCTAGGGAGTAAAGGAGGAAGCCTGCTACACAGCAGGACTCCAGCCTCCACCCCCAGTAGAAAGGCCTTATAACTAGGCTGAGCAAGTGCAGAAAACAGGGAACGTCCTCTAAGCTTCAAGAGAAGAGGCGAGAGATGGTAGGTGTGACAGCACCATCAACAACTGACTCAATATTCTCAGATAGGGAAGATACCTTGCCTGGGGGCTGTATGGCATCCATACAGCCATCTATCTGTGTTCCAAAAGACAACTCCTCACCCTCCTCCTCTATCCTCCCCATACCTGCTCAAAGCGCCATCCATCAGACATAGTGGAAACCATTTGAGTGAGCTCCTCTTCCTGGCACTGCAGCACACGGTAGACATGTTTAGGAGGCACCTGACAGAAAAAATTGCAGACAAGGATGTTGACAGAGGTCAAATACTAAAGGCCACTGCCCATCTGCAGAAGGAAGAGGTAGCACCCCTTCTTTACAAACCTATCCTTCTCACCATATCCAAGATGGGGTGGAAAGCACAACCAAGCCTTGTACTGTGCTGTTCTGGGGAGCAAGAACGATGCTATCACTTTTGGAGAAAAGGAACTCAGCTGAGAGCTTTATGCAATGTCCTCAGAAGACAGTGGGCTCTTTCCAACAGGGAGTTTGCATTTGTCATTACAAAGTCATTTATGCAAATGCCACAAATATTGATGGGATTTTGCAAGCACAGAGTGATTGCATTGCTGGAGGCTTACATCCTAGGGCAGACATGATGAAAAGTGAGATATCAGTCAAGATTCCCAGAAGACAGTTTTGAAAAGGTTATTAGCCAAGACAAGGTGTGACTGTGCCACGGGATTGATTTCTTGTGCCTCATTTTCTGCATTTCTCTTCTACGGACATTTCTTCACTTGTTCCTTTCAGGTTTCTCTAGAAGTATCCCTACATTCTTCACTGTGATTACACTCTCAGGACTCCCCATACCAGAATAGTCCTTCCCACAACACCTTCTCTCTCACCACAAACACAGAATCTTAGAATCATTGAATCATAGAATGGCCTGGGTTGAAAGAGACCATAATGATCATCTAGTTCCAACTCCCCTGCTGTGTGCAGGGTTGCCAACCACAGCAACTAGCAGGCTTCTTCTAGAAGCCAATTTTGTTTCAGAGTCTACATCCAGCACTACCTCTGGAGCTGCAAAACAAATGTGGAACTTGTTTATTGTGACTAAATTGGTGTTAGCCTGTCCCCAAGCAAGATTTTGCTAAACAGAGATTAGCAATAAACTCTAATTAGTTGTTTCTTTCCATTCCTTTCTGCCTCTCCCTCGCCTGCTCTCCCTTTAGATTTCATTCTCCTTTTAAGCATTTCCTCCTTCCTTCACTATCTTTGCTTGATGTTTCCCACAATACCTGCATCACTGTGTAGTCCTTCTCCTCCAGTCGATCCTTAATTATTCGGATTAAGGGACCAATGTTATAGAACTCTGCTTCTTCCAGGACCCCTAAGAAAGAATGACACAGAAACCACAAAGTTAACAGCCATATTGTTTTACAAGCCAAAAAGAACCAACTCTAAGTACACTTCTCAAGGTTATGTCCCTTGGGTGAAATGATACATAAGCCTTACTCAGAACTTTAACAAGTTCCTGTTGCTTGAAACCTTTACTGCAGAGAATTGAGCACTGGCCCTCTTGTGTTGTGTTCTACTGCTCACCCCAATTTCTTTATGCTGTCTACCATTACAGGAACAGTGAAGGTTGTTGCCAAGTTCTGCTATTATATTTCCAGGGAAGAAGAGGATTTCCCTGAGAGTCCAAAATTGACTTTCAGATTACAGGCCAAGCAGAATAAATGTAGGATCCATGCTCTCAGTGACCACTAGTTATCACTTTGTTCCAGCCCTCTTTGGAAGGTAGAGAACCACAATTTGTTCTGGCTTGTCCACAGAAAAAAAATTCCATCCTCCTCCTGTTAGAGTTGCATCCCCATATTATTTCAAGATTTTTTTCTCTCACCTGTGCTTCATCACAGAGCAGGCAAATAGAGAACTGTTTTGATTTTTCTGCTTGGTGTTTGCATCCTTCACCTCTCCTGAGACCCTCCTGCTTGCTAACAAGCCATCAGGGAAAGGAAGGTGGGTTCTCAGTGGGTTAGTGAAGGGAAGGAGTCCAGGAACCAACATTTACGTGTATCCAAATCAGCATGCAGACGGTGCTGGTAGGGGTTTGATTCTTCCCTACTTGAGGACTCAGATCCACTCAGAGTCCCTCATTCAGCCAGGAGCCCTCTAACGGGTTGGTTTCATGCTAGCCTGTCTGTGTCAGGAGCAAAAGGCAACAGATAAGCTGTGAACAGAACAAGACTCCTGTTTACGTTTCAGATCTGGTGTTAAAAGCCTTGGCTGAACTCTGTCTGACCGGAGGGTGACAATCAATAAGTAAGGAACATCTCTGAATCGTGCTTATTAAAATTCTGCACTATTTCTTAGATGTATTTTTTGCATTGTAACTCATAAAATGACTCTGAATAAAACACTCCTTGGTAAAAATATGTAAGAGAGGCAAGAAGGCTAATGAACCTGCAGCAACTGTGCTTGGCAAGGGCTGGACAGCACAGCCTGTCTTTGAAATTGGCTGCTTGTTAGTCCCTAACATCCAAAAAATAATGAGGCATTGGGGATTGCTGGCTCGTAACACCATGATGATGTTACTGAGTTATCCTATTGGACTCTGTCAACATCAAATGAGGGATTGGTTTGTTTGGCTTGCTCCACTGGAATTGCTGCAGTCCACAGCCCATCAGAGCACTATTAGCATACATTACATGTCACTGATTAATTATGGGGTTTATTACAGTCAGTTGGTCTGTTTGGTCTTCTGGGTTTTCACTCCTAATTAGAAACACTCAGTCATTAACACAAACCTCAGTCACAAAGCCTGGTTAAAAGTGTATCAGGAACAAGTAATAAAACAGTTTATCGAGGATGAGAGACCTAGTCTGCTTCCATCTCAGTGACACCTCTGCTCAACTAACAGCCATAAGGACTCTTACATGCAGGATGCCTTCTCCACCTGCTCCGTTCCCACTTAGTGAAGGAAACATGCTTTCCAAGAGCTGCAAGGATGACCTTCTCAAATCTCCCACACCAATCTTCAGAATAATGAAAGACAAGGAAGTCAACTACAAATTCTACTGTTCTGCTCCAGCAGTGGTTAAATGGGAAGCTTCTGAGCTTCAAGACTCACCCTCTTCAGCCATATCTTTATCCAGGACCAGCTTCCCATGACGGAGGAAATTCAGGATGGGTCCAAAGTAAGTAGGGTCCCGGTCTATTAGGTATGCACCAGTCTCATCCTAGCAACAAGAGGTAGACCATGAGGTGAAAAAATGTGGGGCATCTTGGCCTGCACCCATCTGCAATTCACTCTCCTGAGATATGCTATATCTCTATAGAAGACCATAGCAAAGATAACTTCACTCAGATTTTAAGTCCTGCATTATTATGCTCAGAATGTCCATCTCAGCATGGACCAGTCCAGCTTAGAAAGCCAAAAATCTGACCTCAAGCTCCTGCAACCACGTGTACAGGCCTGGTGTGAGGGAGCAGAGATCCCTCCTAGGGAAAAAGGTTGAGTCAGGCAGCTACATCTGGGAGGTACCCCCAGGGCATCTGAGGTGATGGAGGGGACACAGCCTTGCTTTTCCCCAGGTGGGGAAATTAGATGCTGGGCTACAACACAGCCAGGCAGTAACTGGAAAGATAAAATTCTTTCTGGGATAGCTGAGAAAGCGAAGGTATTTTTCTCTGGGTTACTCCTACAGCTGTTGGGGTCTGGCTCCAGCCCTCCCCGTGCTCAGAGGGGCATGGTGCAGGAGGCAATGCAGCTGCCTTACCCGGTCCGACTGCAGCTCCTCGCCCTGGCACAAGCGACACAGGAAAGATTTCCGCTCCCGGCACAGGGTCTGCCTGGTGGTAAGGAAGATGGTGCCCCCCACATTGAGCCTCACCCACTTGGCCTGGGCATCAACGGGGGGTGGGTCCCAGGTGCAGCGCAGCCCCACAGCACCCTTCATCTCTTCCCCGCCCTCCATCCACATCCTCACTCCCCCTGGCATGCAGGGACTGCCGCAGGTGCTGCCTGCTGGGGAATGCTGGGATCTGTAGTTTGTCTGCTCTCCTTCCGCAGCAGCCGTGTTTCCCTTAGGGGCAAGGATCCTCCCTGCGTCTGCCCAGGGAGACACCAGGAGGAGAAGGATGCCCTGTGTTGCAGTTATTAGGTGTGGGCAAATCCACAGTCTCAGTGCTCCCTGGCTTTTCCTCTGTTTCGGTTTTTACCCGAGGGCTGGCCGCACTGAAAGTATGGGGTGTGATGCAAAATTCCTCAGCAATTACTTCCATGTACACCCTCCCCAGCTCATGAAAAGGTTCTGGGAACTGTAGTCTCAGGGACATGCACAAAAGGGTGCTGGGAACTGTAGTTTTTTCCATCCTGCCGTCCCCACAAAAGGGGATGCTGTAATACATAACCCTGACACTACAGCTAGTCATTTGCTTGCTTTGAGTCATGGATCTTGCAGGCAGGCATCCCTGGAGTCAGAAAGAAGATCTCTGATCTCTGGCAGTCAGCAGATTAAGCCCGTCAGCACTGCACTCCACAGCTTTCCCTTCAGGAGATACATTACCCCAGGCTCACAGCACTGTGCTGCATCAGTTGCCACGCTGTTCTTGCTGCAAAGTGTGCAGACAGTTGTCTTCCTGCTAACATACGTAGGGACTCTTCTGGGAACGGTATCTTGGATCTGCACAAAGTGCTGGCAGGGGGACAGGAATAATTTTTGTTCTGACTCAGAAGAGATGCTGATTCAGCTAATGTTCCCCTTCCTCCTCCCCCTTGGTGTGGTCCTACCGTCACAAACCATTCCAGAGACCACTGTTTCCCAGCTCTGTTGCTGTCTTGGCTGCAGAGTGCTCAGATTGTAATTCTGCTCTGCATGGATCTTTACCTCTGCCCCAGGCGTACCACATGCAGATACCAATGTGCCAATTGCTCCTTGCTGAGCACAGCCCTGCCTCTGCCACTCCTCCTGCCAAGTCAAGCATGGAGCTCAGCAATTCATACCCATGGGACTCTGTTCAAATGCACTCCGTGGCATGGACATGACCTGAATGAGTTCTTTCTGCAGCAGCTCTGCTTTTCCCTCTCCCTCTTAAACACAATAGTGCTTGTCAGCAGCTCAGGCACATCGGGGATGGAAAGGAAAGGCTGATGTTTCACCTGAATGTGGCCCAAAGTTTTCCTTCACCTAAAGCAACTTTGTGGTTCCTCCTTGCCAGGGCAATGCAGCACTGCAGGAGCACCATTGTGCCCTGCAGACACTTTGTTCTTTCACATAGGTCTTAGGTCTTTTGAGGTGGGGGTTACTGGGGGGGAAGTTAGTGGAAAAATAAAGATCATGTTTTATTCACATTTCTTGTCTTTTCTTCATTCTCTCTTTTCTTTTGCTTAAAAATCACTCTCTTTTATCATCACAGAACATGAGCATAGTGACACCCTTCCCCAAATTGCCCAGAATTCTCTTGACAAAGATGATATAGCTGTACTTTGCTCCTTCTGTGGAGGAATGCAAAGGGAAGGGGGGGGGGGGAAGAGAAGGTAACAAGGAAAATGTTTTGAAATTGCTGACCTCCAACTAATCTAAGCACAGGAACAAATCAGCTGCTGCAGGGTGTAAAATCAAATAACTTTGGGTCTCCTTTAATTTATATCAAGAGCTGGCCAACTCTATAGTGACCATTAATAGAGAGAGATTAATTTTTTTTTTTCCTATTTGCATTGAGCAGGTCCATTAATAAATTAGTCTGCAGTCCCTGGGCCACTCTCCACTGAGCAGAAGACATAAAGGATGCTTAGACTGTCACCAACCTGAGCTGAAGCATCAAACAGTACAACACAACTCTGGGCTGTGAGACTGTTTCCTTCCTACCTCTGGCTCTGGCAGAGCCATGGCATATATGAAAGCTTTGCATTACACTCTGGTGTATTAGGAATATATGATCCTGTGAGCTCTGGCCACAACTGCAGCAGAGACAGACAAGGAGGACCGTGGCTCCCTGATATGAATGCAGCGGTAGAAGGTGGCAGCCTACCGCCCCTTATCTTCCCCTCCCAGGAATCTGCCCTGCCTTTGTTTTGTTCCTTTTTCTATTAAGGGTTCAGCTTGCCTCCCTTTCCTCCAAGCCTGTTTCACAGCCCCTCAGTCTCTCTCTCCAGTTTAGATCCAATCCCTTGTTTTTGATGCCTTCCTCTCCAACATCTCCCATGCCAATGCTGCTCATGGGTCAGGGATGGCCTGTATTCAGAGCACACCTTCTTCCACCAATGCTAGTTGCCATCTGTAGCCAACACTTGCTCACCCAAGGGCAATGGGGTGAAAGGCAAGTAGTTCAATCTGAAGCAGTAACATGTAAGTACGAAAAGAGGTCAAGGTAGAACAACCCCATCCCTTGTTTTCTGCAATAGACAGTACGAGCTTTACTGGAACTCCCTCAGGCCAGGGAGTTTCTCATTGTAAGTGAAAATCTCTTTTAGGAAGAAGACAGTCCAGGGCGAGTTACCAGCTGAAATGCTATAATGAGTAGTTGGGGTGGGCTACATAAGAGCCTGATTTGCACACCATCACTGGATATAGTTCTGAGCTGCCCTTCTTAAGGTCCATTAAAATTAAGCAATAGAACAGCGGAGAAGTAAATTCAAATAATGAATGGCAGCTCCTCCTGCTTTGATGATAAGCACATATAAGACATTTCCACAGAGTCAGAGACAACAGCGAGCAAGAGCTTATAGAGAGCAACACGAGTATGCAATGCCATACAGCCCCACAAAGCTGATCACAGGGACAGTCCAGTTGCCCAGACAGACCAGGGGCAGGGAAAGCTGAGTAGCCTCTCTATAGATAAGTAGCGGGCCTGAACAAGGACAAAGGTAAAACAGGAAGGGGTAAACTGAGAGATTCTTTGTTCAGCAGCCAGCAGGCCTGCTGTTAAAACCTGCAGAAAGCTGCAGACACTGCAGCATTCAGTATACATACATCACAGCCTGAAGAGTCCAGCTGGGTACATTGCATGCGATGCATCACTGAATCTGTGGAGCTGCTCTTAGGAGGTGTTGAGTTTTGGAGCATCAGTGGGAGAAGGAATCATGGTGTGTCAGCATAGGCAGTGTCACCACTCAGGCAGACTGCAAACACATCTGGGTTTCAACCTGCATGATCATTTAGTTAATGAACACATTGTGGCATGAGGCGCTGGAGAGAAGAAACCATCTTTTCTCTTCTCTATGGTGGAAGGCAAGTAGCACTGATATTTGCCATTAAGCCCACAACAAATTGGGCAAAGGAAAATCCCTACATGGGACATGCTGATGAGAGGAAGACAGTAGACTTGCAACCAGAAGAGCTGTTTGACTGCCAGCTGAGCCAGGCATGTTGGACCAGGAAGAGAAAAATTCTATAGTATGCAGGTGAGCTGATCTTTCTCGAGTTACTGTGAGCAATGTACTTGTGTACAGAATAGTGTGTAAATAACACCTAGTTGTGTGCTAGGACCAGAAAAGGTGGGAGGACCAAGACAAACCTCTACAAGTAACAGTGATTACTATCACTCATGCAGTGGATATTAGTGGAAAGAAACAGTGGTGTGGGAAGAGACAGTGGTGCTGCTTTGAGATTTGGGAAAGTTTGTGGGGGAACAAATGGCCCACAGGGAAGTCAAGCATGAAATAATGCAGCAGGATTTCACAGAAGCAGGGAAGGAAGAAGGTGGCAGGGGAGAAAGAAGACAGGTGAGGAATGTGAGACTGTGGGATTGTTGTTAGAGACCTGTTCATGCTTAATCCCTATAAAAAGTGGAGCTGTGTTGCAAATGTATGATGACATGAGCAGGAGGTACATGTGAGAGACACAGACATGTTCTTGGAAGGTGAAACTCTGTATGTGAAAGAATGACTGGCACCAGAACTGGGGAAAAGGGATTGAGAGGGAACTGCAGAGACAGAAGGATATCTTATATGGCCAGACCTGTGGTCAAAACATGAGCTACACAATGATGTGGAATTGTAGGAGGAGAGAAATGCTCATTCTTAGGCATTTTGAAGTTAAATGCAGATGATAACCAGCCACGAGTGGTATTACCCTGTGGTAAGTATTGGGGCTGGCCTTGTTTAAGAGCTTTATTGTCTGTCTGGACAAGGCAACTGAGTGCACCCTCAGTGAGTTTGCAGATGGCCCTACAGAGAACTGGATAGGCTGGATCAATGGACAGAGGCCAACTGTATGAGCTTCAGCAAGACTAAATGCCAGGTCCTGCACTTTGGTCACAACAACACCATGCAACATTATAGGACTGGAGCAGAGTGGCTGGAAAGCTGATTGGAGGTAAAGGATATGGGGTTACTAGTCAACAGCATCTGAATATGAGCTAGCAGTGTGCCCAGATGGCATAGAAGACCAGTGGCATTGCAGCTTGTATCAGAAATAGTGCAATCAGCAGGAGTAAGGAGGTGACTGTCGCTCTGTATTTGGCACTAGTGAGGCTGTACCTCAAGTACTGTGTTCAGTTTTGAGCCCCTCCATACAAGAAACACACTGAGGCCCTGGAGCATTTCCAGAGAAGGGCAATGGAGCCGTGAGGGGACTGGAGCACAAGTCTGATGGAGAGTAACTGGGGGAGCTGGAATTATTCAGTCCGGAGAAGAGGAGAGTCAGCTTATCACTCTCATAACTTGAAAGGAAGTTATAGCAAGCTGGAGGTTGGCCTCTTCTCCAAGGTAACAGTAATAGGATGAGAAGGAATGGTCTTAAGCTGTGACAGGAGAAGTTCAGGTTGGATATTAGGAAAAATTTCCTCTCCAAAAGAGCAGTGCTGCAGTGGCACAGGCTGCCCAGGCAAGTGGTGCAGTCATCATCCCTGGAGGTGTTCCAGCGCCGTGTGGATGTGGCACTGAGGGACGTGGTCAGTAGGCATGGTGGGGGTGGACTGGAGGTTGGACTACGTCATCTTAGTGGTCTTTTCCAAACTTAATGATTCTGTGGTTCTGAGATTTTCCTTTCCCACTGAATTCAGATCCATGTGTGAACCTACGAGGCAGCTGCAGTGTTTCCTCTCCATCTCCATTACTACTGCTTCACATAATGCACACACTGCTACGTTGCCAGGTGCAGAGCAGATCCAAGCCATTGCCACCATGGTCATCCCTGCAGGGCTGGGAATACTCAAACTCTCAAATCTGAGCTGTGCTCTGAAAGAGGCACAGGGTTATTCATTGACCAGACTGTTTGTTCA